CAACACGATCAGGGACTGCCCCTGCCCGTCGTTGGATGGCGTCGGATATGAAGCGGACCAGCGCCCGGTGCTGCAGCGAGCACAGCCGTCGGTTGACCTGTGCGCCCGCGCGGTGGTCGACAACAACGGGCGCGTGCATGTTCACGTGCACATGCAGACGATGCGGCGCCCGTGATCGCCCGCCGCTGCTGCCGCCGCCGAGCGTGGTGCGGTGGCTGGCCAGACCCAGCGCAAACACATTCCACTCGCGTCGCCTGCAGTACACATACGCTGTCAGGTACATGCCCAATCGCGTGCTGGTGATGGCAGCAGCATCCACGCCATCCAGCACGCGCAGGGCCGCCTGAAGTGAAAGCACCGTGTCCGGCAACGTCTGCAACGTCTGTTGCTGCGTTGGGTGTGTTAGCTCGCTGTTCAGCAGCACGCCGGCAAGGCAGTTGTTGATGTTGCATCCTGCATACTGCATGCAGCTGTGATGAAAGTTCGTGCGGTTGAGCGTTGTGGAGACGCCTCGAATGCTCTCGCGCACAAGAACAACAGACGCCACAGCACCCACTTGTTCTGCCGCGCTCCCCTCGTTCATCTCGCGTTGCGTTTCTTCCTCCCCTGCTTGTCTGTCGATTGTCGTCACGTGTTCCTCACTTGCGCCTTCCATCATTGTCTCGCCCACTGCTGCCTGCGCTTCCACATCGACATCCACCTCCCCACCCTCTGCCGTGCGCTCCTGCTGTTGCTCTTCACACACGTCATCTTCTACACCTCTTGCTGCCGTTGCTGCTGGTGATGCCTCATTCACCATCGTGTCAGCCATCACCTCCGCACTTGTTTCGACAGCACCCTCCTCGGCTGCACTCTCACCGTCCCTTTCAACAGCACCAACACCCTCAACACCTTCACCACCGTTGCCACCAGCATCTCCACCGCCATTGCTATCAGCACCACGACCTCTATCGACAGCACCACGACCTCCATCACCACCATCACCATCGCCACCGCCCTCCCTATCGCCACCGACCTCTGCTGTTGCGGTCGGTGGTGGTCGTCGTCGTGCTTGCTCCTCTTGCTCAGCAAAGCAGGCTGCAACCAGCTGCGCGGCCTGAAGGACCGAAGGGCGCTTGAGTGCACGCTGGTGCGTGCGGGCCGTGGTGTAGTCGTTGCCGGCAAGGCTGGCGACAACACACAGCTGCGGCCACGACGACAACCCAAGCCGCTGCAGCAGCGCCTCCCGACGAAACAGCTTGCACTCGATGCGCTCCTGTGAGTAATCGAAGCGCACGTGCGGCAGTGGCAAGTACCGGCACTTGTACATGAAAAAGTCAGAGTCGTTTGCCATCACGTAGCCGTACGCTTTCTGCCGTGCCACGGCCGCCACAAGCGCGTCTCCCTCGTGCGTCGCCATGATGACAGCCACCTTGGAGCCAAACCGATCCAGCAAGATGGACGTGAAGAAGTGCCACAAGCCAGGCGGCAGAATACAGGGGCCATCGGCCCCACGCTGGGAGTGGCCGTGATTGGATGGCCTTGCCCCTTGCCCTGCTGTGGCATGCTTCCGTGCTGCCCGCTTTCCCTGCTTTCTGTGCTGGTGGCGCCGGTGCTGGTGCTGGTGTTTCTGCTGTTTGTGGCGCGGAGCGCGGTGGCTCTGTCGTTGTTGTTGTTGGTGGTGGTGGTGCCGCGTGCCTTCGTCTTCGCGTGCGAGGCTGGAGCACATGGCACGTGCATGTTTTGCCAGCTGCAGCTGCCGGTCTTGCAGGGTGTCCTGCTTTGTGAGCGGCGCAGGCCCGTCCAACACAACAGTGACCGAGTCAAAGCACTTTGTGAGCAGGTCCATGCACTGCAGCACAGCGTATTTGAGGCCATCCCACTGGGCGTGCGGGTGCTCTGCCATGCTGGTGGCCTCTTGCACCAGCCGATACAGCAAGCCACCGCCATCCACAACCACACTGTTGCTGTTGCTGTTGCTGTTGCTGGTGTTGGTGTTGCTGTTGGTGGTGGTGGTGTTACTGCTGGTGGCGCTGGTGGCGGTTTCATCCTTTCCCACCTGCTTGCTCACCTCCTCTTGTGCTTGCTTGCCATCACATTCCGCAACCCTGCTACTGCTGTTGCTGCTGTTGTGGAAGACCACATCCTCGTACGCCTTCACCACCTCCACACCACCACCACAACCATCGTCCTCCTCTTCCACCACAGCGCGCAGTCCACGGATCCCCATAATTTCGTGCTGTCGTCGTCTTCCTCTTCGCTTGCTGCTTCTTGCGCAATGTGCTGCGTTTGAAACGCCTCGAACGCCTGCGATGACGTGGGTGTGAGCGAATGATCCAATCGGGGGCGTTTAAGCCTTGCTCGCTTCTTTTGCTTCTTGGGCTCTCTTTGTGACACGTCTGGTTTCTTGGAAAGCATCCTACATCGCCTCGTGATTGCATTCAACGAAGCAGCATGGTGCGCGTGTGTGTGTGTGTTTCTCCCTCTCAGAGCTTACATTAACGCGCATGAAGAAGCGATGAGCGAAGCGAGGAAGTGGTGCTTTCGTGGCATCTCGTCATTTTCTCCTTGCTCTAACCACTTAGGCCGCTGTTAACGCTGGTGTTGCACGCCACCGTGTCCCCTCTCTTCCTTATCTTCCCTCGCTTCCCTTTCCTGCTAACTATTGCTCTTCCTCTTCCTGTATCACCACCATCGTCACTTGCCGTCGTCGTTCGTCATCGCTCGCCCTGACGACGAAGCGTGCAGTGCAGCAGCAGGATGGTGGTGAAGCGGTCTTGCAGACGCAGCCGGGTGCTTGAGGTGGTTGTTGTGCTGCTGGCAGCGATGGCGGTGGATCTGCAACAGCAAAGACCCTTGGTTGTAACTGGTGCGAGCACCAAAGAGAACAGTAACGGGGCGAAGCGCGTCGCTGAACCCCCGACCACCACCACCACCGGCAGTCACCCCATCGGCTACATTCTTGTTGAAGTGCGGCATCCCGTGCTTGTTGAGGAACTGGCGGTGATTCAGGCAGCAGCATCATACGCGGTGGATGATTTGCCAGATGCACCCGCATCAACACTGCAGGTGCAAGTGATCGACGCCACAACCATCGCTACCGAGCGTAGCGATGATGATGGGGATGGTGGTGGTGGTGGTGATGGTGGTGGTGGTGGCAGCGGCGGCGATGGTGATGATGATCGCAGCAGCACCCTCTGCATCACCACCAACATGACAGCCCTCAATATCACCCAGACAGGTGTGTGTGTGTGTGTGTGTGTGTGTGTGTGTGTGTGTGTGTGTGTGTGTGTGTGTGTGTTCTCGGTGCCCACACCCAGCACACCCGTGCTTTGTACACAGGCTTCACCTTGCTTCAGCACCGAGAGTGGCTCTCCTTTGAATGTTTGTTTACCCTCACACTCCCCCCCCACCCACACACACACACACAACCTCATGCATCAACACGTTGCCCTCCTCCCCTCCTCCTTTCCCATGCAACAACATACCGCAATATCAGAGTGTAATGTGCTGCCGCGCGACAACGACGACGCGCTCATGTCGCATCTGGTGCATCTGCTCAAGGCCTGGCACTGGCAGCGGCTTCTCGCAGTCACACCGCAGTGCTCCTACTCGGACCTCAACCCATACCAGCTGGCGCTCACATCCCGCCTGCGCGAGGAGGTGTGTCGACGCAGCAATGCAGCCACGTGTTCTTGTTTCATCTCAAGGCTCACCAGTATCCAGCCTCACGCGAGGTCTTTCGCCTCGAGTTTTCCGACTCATATCAGCACACATGCGCACAAACATGCGCACATACATGCGCACACACATCAACACACACATACGCACACATACACACATACGCACACACATGCACGCACGCACGCACACACATGCGCTCACACTTCACGCGCCATATTGCGTTGTGTAGGGTGTCGAAGTGTTGTTCCGGCAAGACGGGCTGTCCCCCGTGCCCTGCGCGGAGGAATGGCGAGCCAACCACCACATTGGTCTTCTGTTTGCCACTGGCCACCAAGATGCAGCAGACACCGTCCTCACCACGTATCAGGCTGGCTTCTTCAAGCAAGGGTATGTCAAGATATGCAAGCCGAAGATAGGGAGGTGTGTAGGCGAGAGCGAGGGCACGGCTGCCATCGCGGCGACAGCAGGCCAACATCGCTGCAGAACTTCACCTGCGCAACATCACGGCTCACAGAGTTTGCTTCCCTTCACACACACACACACACACACACGCACACATACACACACAACAGAAATGTGCTGTTGTGGCTGCCGGATCTCGTCCTTGCTGACCTGAGTGCTGTCATGCAAGATCTCCTGCAGCGGGGCCATAATGACGTGGCGGTGCGTTGCAGATCCCTGCCTGATACAGGCTGCGCAAAACACCCTTGATCACGCCCATTGCACGTGTCAACTCCTCAACGTCTCCTGTCTGCACACACACACACCCACACCCACACCCACACTATAGGCTGCACTGGAGGCGAGTGCGCTGGTACTGACGCCCCATGGAGGCGGGTGGGCTGCGGCGACGCGGCGAATCGAGCACGAGCACCTCGGCATCGCCACATCGGGCATTGTCGACGTCCGCAACCACTTTGACGCAAACGTCTTCGACGCTGTCGCCGCGGCCGTGCGCAAACGTCTTCGACGCTGTCGCCGCGGCCGTGCGCACGCGTGCATCGCTGATGCTCCAACACACCCAGATGATTGCCACGCCCCTGCACCCGCGCCCACTGCTGGGGCAGAGGAGCACAGCTACCGCGCTGTCCATGACGACAGCACACACCAACATCCTGCGCGGAGGAACGTACACGCTACAGCGTCACACCCTCCGTGCAGCCATCACAGCAGCCAACGAGGTGCGTGAATGCATGTCCATGAAGAGAGCAACATAAGGCTCTGGCACACGTCTGTTCGAGTGGCTGCCTTCCTCATCACATCGCACATGCACACCAATACACACACACAATAAACATGAAAACACGCACACACACACACAATAACACGAGCACACACACAAACACACATACGAACACACGCACAAACACACACACACACACAACCACCTATGTACATGTACTGTTACATTCCCCACACACAAACATGTCTCACATGCAACCCCACACCTACGCATTCAGACGACGACGGGCCTGGTGTATTACGCCAAGGACATGGGTGTGAGCCCGGTGCCCGTGTTGCTGTTGCACCCATCCAATCCAGAGATGTTCCCACACTCGCAGTCTCCAGTTGCTTTGGACACCATTTTCGCCTTTGGCAGGTTAGTCTGTGTTACTTCGTTTGTACAAGCAAACCGTCGACAGTTGTTGCGCTGCTGGGCGCTGCTGTTGTGGAATATCTTCTCCACGTCTTCATGACACGCAGCACACCAACGCATCAGTACACCAGCGCACAAGTAGACCATCACGCCACATTCCACTTCCTCTTTTCACGCGCCCTCCAAACGACCCAAACCACAAGTCAACCCCCAATCCGTCTCCCTGTTCCCATCACACCGCTCGCCATCTATTCAAACCCACCCCACCCCCGTGCTCATCTCTCGCATCACCATCATCTTTGTTGTCGTCATCACCATATCTACAGGAGCAACCCAGCGTACGCCACTGCCTTTGCGCCATTCAACGCACTGCGCACTGCTGCGCTTGAGTTCTTTGCTGCCAGATTCCCCCACATCCGCCTCAACCCGCGTGTCACCGACACCTTTGCCGTGCCCTGCGATGAGCAGCTGTATGGCGAGGCACAGCGCGTGCCCGATGCTGTCATCGGCACGGGTCCAGGCACGTGCATCCCGGAGTTTGGCCGCGTTGTTGCGCGCGACGGTGTACCGCTGCTGGTGCCGGGGCTGCCAAACACGGAGCTGTCAGACAAGGGGACGTACCCAACGCTGTTTCGCCTGGGCACCACCACCGCCGTCTACACGCACATCCTGGCGCACATGCTGGAGGACCTGGGCGCGTCGTGCGTCTCCATGGTCTACAACGCGGACGGCGGCGAGCTTGCAGAGACCTTCTTCGTGCTCGCGCAGGCGGAAGGGCTTGAAGTGCGGCTGCATCTCCCGTTCCACAGCGCCTCGTCAACCAGCGCCGTCCTGGACAGCATCATCGCCGCAGACTCACAGCACGTCCTAGTCTCTGGGTGCGTATGCCTGCACGCGTGCTGTGTGTGCGTGTGCGCGTGTGTGAGAGAGAAAAAGCGTGTGTGTGTGTGTGCGATTTTGTGTGTGGTCAGAAGTGCATGTGTGCACGGTTGTTGACTGCAGGTGTTCCGGAAGCGCACTGTCCGTCGCACCGTACCCTCTCACCAGCATTGTGCATCGTATAAGCTTAAGCTCACAGTAACAACGTACTAATCTCTCTATTGTACCCTCCACTCACATACACACACACACACGCGCACGCACACACACACACACATACACCTTCTACAGGCACGGGGTTGAGGTGATTGATTTACTTGAGGAGGCGCACGGTCGCGGCATGCTGCAGCCGCCCTGGGTGTGGATCATCGCAGGACCGTCTGTCACCTTCAGCGCGTTTCCGCCGTATGTTGTGGAAGCTCTGGATGGCATCCTGCTCACGACCACACCAGGCCCGGCCTGCACATCACCCATTGGGAAGGAGTTTCTGGCATTTGAGTCCAGTTCGCAGCACACCACGTTCACGGCGGAAACAGCCAGCCATGCGTTTTACCTGCAGTTTGTTGATGCCATTAACGCATACGTACACGCCGTGGACGCCACGCGATACACGTTTGGCTTTGAGTTTGACCAGCAGCGGCGGCGGGCGGCGGTTCTGCAGGGGCTGCGGGCATTCGCACCAGGCAGTCCGCTCCCTGGCATTGGTGATCCGCACGTCCAATTTGACGGGAACCAGGACGCATTTGGCACGTTGCAGCCGGCGTTCCTGATCAACAGCACCTTCCACCCGCTGAGCGCCGCTACGATCGACCAGGACTTCACAATCGACGAAGCCGCGCGGGCCCTGGTGCCCATCCAGTCCGCCTGTCGGGCGCCGGTCACGCTCGCCCCTGTGGGCGACGATGCTGGCACTGGTGGTGGTGGTGGTGGCGCTTCCACGCTCAGCAGCGGCCTTGCAGCGCTATATGCCAGCGTACTTGTGCTGGCCGCATTGATCATCGTTGCAACGGGCATGGCAGTGGAGCAGCGGCGACGGGCGAAGAGGAAAACGGCCATGCGCACGCACGACTTCCGGGCCGAGCTGGAGGAGATGCAGCTCACGCACCGCGGTATTGTGCCGGCAGAACTCAAGCGGCAGCACATCCAGATTGAGAACAAACTCGGGGAGGGGTTCTTCTCACAGGTGTGGAAGGGAACACTCATGCGCCCACCACAGCACCTCATCCAACGGCAGCGACAACAAGCAGGGACAACAGCCACAGCCACAGCACTTGACACACGTGCCATGCGCCATCGCACATCCTTCAGCAGCACCAACACAGGACACCGCCTGCCACGCCGGGTGAGCTGGGTACATGGCGGCCCTAACAATGACAACAGCAACCATGATGGCGGTGGTGGCGGCGGTGGCGGCGGTGCGAGTCATATTGGTGATGGCGATGTGGGCGGAGAGGGTTGGAAGCAGGAACCGCTGGCTGTCTCGCAAACTCCGATTGTCACCGGCGATGAACACTCAGACGGTGGCGATGATTCGGACGACAGCAACAGCATCACTTTCAGCTCGAGTGATGGTGACGATGACGATGCCTGGGGCGGTGAGACCTGGGGCGGTGAGACCTGGGGCTGCGACGAGAAACATCACGATGCTGCATACAATGTTGCCGATGATGCTGGTAGTGGAGGTGTTGGTTGTTGTCAACGTGGCAGCTGGCTGAGACGCCTGTTTTCGGCCTTGGCTGCTTTGGTTTCGAGGTGGCACAACAGGGCGACAGCGATTGGTGACACCGCGCTTCCCGTTGCTGTGAAGATGACGCGGGCATTCCCTGACGGCACGTACGACGACACCAACTTGCGGTATGAGGCCGCGTCTCTGGCGCAGTTTCGCCACTGCAAGAACATTGTGCAGCTGCTTGGCGTGGTGACGGCTGGTGACCAGCCCATGCTGCTTGTGCTGGAGTACTGCGAGCACGGGGCGTTGGATTCGTTCCTGCAGCGCTACACGCTTCGCCGCCAACTCGACTGGGCCACAAAACTCAAGATGGCCCGCGACATTGCCAGAGGTACACGCGAGTGTGTGTTGTCGTTGGTGGTGGTGGTGTTGTTGTCGTTGCTGTTGTTGTCGTGTGTGTGTGTGTGTGTGTGTGTGTGTGTGTATGTGTGTGTGGTTTTGTGCACCACGTGGCCCAAACACGCGTCATGGGTGCGTGTGCGCACACGTTGATTTGAAGTATCCTCTCCGTGGCTCCTCCTGTTCATCACATGCTCGAACATACCTCCTCTCTCTGTGTGTAGGCATGCGGGCCATTTCCATTTCCACGGCTGGCGCGTTGCACATGGATCTTGCTGCACGCAATGTGCTTGTGAGTGCAGACATGACGTGCAAAGTTTGGATTGTTCAAGGACCACCAGTACTACGAGATGCACCAGGAGAAGATCATCCCTGTCCGTTGGACGGCGCCCGAAGTCCTCAACCTCCAGCGGGTGAGCCAACCTGTGTGGCGTGCGGATGTGCGTGTGCAGGGAGGGGTGTCTGCTCTGTATTCATGTGTACACGCATCAGTGCGTGCATGTGTCTGAAAGTGTGCCTGCGTGTCTGTAAATCAGCTTCTGTGCAGGTGTGTTCACGTGCGATGTTCGTGTGTTGGTGCACGTGGATGTGTTGGCATGTTATAAGCAGCGCGTACAGTTGCCGTCTCGCGCTTCCCAATCACGTGTTGTATGCGCTCATATGCATTTGTTGAATGCACCAGTTCTCCACTGCCAGCGACGTTTGGAGCTATGGCATTGTGCTGTTTGAGATTGCGACAAAGTGAGTACACGCCACACATGCCCACCACTTCACCGCCTGCACGCATGGCTTTACTGCACACACGGTTGTGGGTGTATTCGCCATTGCATCCCCGCTTTATCCAAGTTCTCCTCGCACAGTACATGCGTACCCACACATGCGTACACACAGACGTACACACATACGCTCACACACATCCACACATTCACACATGCACACACGCGCTCGCATACACACACTTGCATACATCCACACACTCGCACACATCCACACACTCGCATACACACACACTCACTTGCACACATTCACACATTCACACGCCCATCACATGGTTCTGTTCCATGCGCGATAGTGCGTGCGAGAAGCCGTACAGCAGCATGTCCAACACCGCTGTGGTGGAGGCTGTGTCCTCTGGCCATCGCCTGCCCTGCCCTGCGTGCTGTCCTCTCGAGGTGTACGGACTCATGCTCCAGTGCTGGATGGCGGATCCTCAGGAACGCCCCTCATTTGCCGATATCGCACACACGCTCACGTCCACCATGCGCACAGTGGCAGCGGGCCGCGAACTGCAGGGAACACTGCACATCACAGGGACGCAGATGGCGCTGGGTGGTCGTGGCAGCCGTGGTAGTTGTGCTGTTGGGAGCGGTTGTGGTAGCAGTAGTGGGACTGATAGTGTTGGGAGGAACAGCATTGTTTCAGGGCCGCAGAAGAGGGGCAGCGACTCCGCTGCGGTGTCGTGGGATGGGGGCAGCGGTGCTGATGCTGTTGATGTTGGTGGGGTGATGCATCCAATCCACCCAGCGCAAGCACACGTCCTGCAGCAGCAGCAGCAGCAGCAACTCTTTGCCATGCAGCAGCGATGCAACAAGAACAACAAGAACAACAAGAGCAACAACAACAGCAGCAGCACCAGACATCGGCAACTCCTGTTGCGCCAGTCATGTGTGCTGGTCCAAACATTGCTCAACCACAGCAACAGTGTTACGTGCAACATCAGCAGATCTTCTTCCCCTCAGATAACCAACAGCATCAGCAGCAGTACCAGTACCAGCAGCGAGCAGACGGCTCGCCACTTGTGCCGCCGAGGGATGTGGTGAATATCATGTCCAAGCTGAAACAGCAGGGCTTTGCAATGCACCGGCACGACGCACCGCAGCACTTGCGCCCAACGAGTGTCCCCATGATTGCGCACGTTAGCCACAGCAGCAGCAGCAATCCGAGCACGGGCTACGGCTCCACCTTCGTGTCTGATGGCGAGTACGCCACCATGCAGGGGCAGCGGACACGCCGTGTCAGCATCAACAACAGCCGCCACGACAGCAAGCGAGGCAGCGTATTGTACGCGCGCACATCCGTGTCATCAGCTCTGCAGTCACAACAGTGGCACCAGCAGCACCAGCACCAGCAATCGCAGCAACAGCAGCAGCAGCATCCGCAAGCAAGTGTCGGCCATGCACCGGCGATGGCGATTGCCCCTCAACGCCATGATTTGGGCGCCCGAATTCACATTGATGATATTCCAACGGGTGGTGGTGTCACTGACCAAGAAGAAGCCTACACGTCACTGCAGCATCTGCCACGCCACGGTGCGTTGCACTTCCAGCAGCAGCATCTGACAACAGCACGCCCTTCCATCGATGCTCGTGCACCCACAATAACAGCAGCAACACCAACAGTCATGCCAGCAACAGCAACGCTGACACACACATTGCAACATCAGCCAGTTCTAAGTTATCAAGCCTCGCGTGTGGTTGATCCTGAGCAAGCATCTCGTGCCTTCAAGACACGACTGCCGCGACCATCAGCAGTGCATCGGCTGGCGTCACCACCACCGCCACTGCCCGAATCGTTCCCTCGCTCACGCTCACCACCGACAACAACAACAACAAAAACAGCAGCAGCAGCAGGAGCAGCAACAACAGCAACAATAGCAACAACGACAGAAGCAACACGGGCTGCATTGGGAAGAGAGCGTGTACCTGGTAAAGAGGTGCAGCAGCCACTTCAGCACAAGTGCGCGTCAAGGAATGGCACATCGACGGCACCCCCTGACTTGCCACATTTTCCCGAACACAACAGTGCACGCCACGAACCAGCACCATCACCCACGGCCTTGCCACATGCAGCTGCCGTCGACCGCGTCTCCACCGCATCTTCTGTGTCGACGCCGCGACCTCCAGCCGCATTCGACTTTGCACTGTTTCATTCCAATCTTGCTGCTTCCCTTTCCTTCACCAGCGACAGCGAGGCCTAGATGCTGCTACTGCTGTTGTTGATCTGTGTATGTACGTGTATGTGCGTGTGTACGTGCGTGTGTGTGCGTGCGTGTGTACGTGCGTGTGCGTGTGTGTGTGCGTGTGTGTGGCCACGCTTTCAACGATTGCTTGGTGTCAATCAATTATCTATTCGAATAGACTACATGTAAAGAGCAAGAAGAATTCCCGCAACGGCTAGAGCACAGCGCATTGGACTGGCCAGCAGCACACGCGAACAAGGGTATCAGTTCAAACAAGGTCAACAAGCCAACCGTGTGTGAGTGTGTGATGTGCCAGTCATAGGTGCACATTCATCTCAACGTGTCTGCCACACACACCAAGGTCATTCGTTCATAACACACACACACACACACACACACACACACACACACCCTGCGTGCGCTATGCGAGCGGCTGGTCCGGGTCTGTGGCGGTGAAGAACTTGAGCATTCTGGCAGCAATTGCGCGGCCAATGCGCTGCCGGCGCCCGCGCGGGACCATCTGGCACGCAGCAGTGTGGGCGGTTGAGATGGAGGGTACCGTGCAGTGGGAGGGTGTTCGTGAGGTGGAGAGAAAACGGTAGAGATGGCGACATCACGAACGAGGGGCAGCCACAAAGCTGCACAAACAAACACATGCGCACACACACATGCACACACATGCACACACCTCTGAGACTGCCTCCAGTCCTTGCAAGCAGAGCGCCTCGGTGAGGGCGTGCGGAGAGCGAAACCGCTGTGCAATCGCGTGTGCCTGAAACGAGGATGCAACCAACATCATCAGCAGATGATTGAGCCCTCATGAACAGAACACACACACACACGCACACACACACACACACACACACACACACACACACACACGCACGCAGACACGCACGCACGCACACACACGCAGATACTTACGGTTTCGAGGGACACGCCGGGAAAGCATTTGAGCTGCTTCACCCACAGCTCGTGCATGCCATCAAACGTTTTGGCGTCCACCTGAAGAAACAACAAGATGATATGGTGAGCAGGAGCTGGAGGCAAAACGGTGTGCAGAACACGCGTGCACGGTCCGTGTTGGCGTGAGCATCGTTGTGACAACATGACGGCGGGTTATGCAATTATCAGCAACCGTTTTTGTGCATGTGTGTGTGTGTGTGACCTTGACGCAGCGCTCCACGTGTGGGTAAAAGTTGAATTGCGTCAGCGGCTTCTTGTCAACAGACGTCGCCACGGCCTGCACAGTCCGGGTGCGTGTATATTGTGCGTGTGTGTGTGTGTGTGTGTGTGTGTGTGTGTGTGTGTGTGTGTGTGTGTGTGTGTGTGTGTGTGTGTGTGTGTGTGTGTGTGTGTGTGTGTGTGTGTGTGCACAATGTGACTGTGTGCACGAACATTTGCACGTTTGTGCTTGCAGGACATCGTGTGTGCACCAAATCAACGACTGCGTTAGCAGGTTCTCGATGGCCACCGCACCTTTGTCATCCGGAGGAGGAGGTCTGCTGTCTCTGACGGAGACGTAGTGAGTCGGGGATACACCTCTGCATCCATCTGCAGCCACACCAGCACGTGCTCGGCTGGTGGTGGTGGTGCACGAGGTGTGAGGAGCGATCAGCAGTGGCGAGAGAGGGAGAGGGAAAGGCGGAAGAAGCAGGAAGAGGAAGACAGACTCACAGACAGACAGACAGGCAGGCAGACAGACAGACGGACAGACAGACGGGCAGACGGGCAGACAGGAAGACAGACAGACAGATGCAGACCCAATTGCAGCTGCACAAACGGACCGATGACGCGTGTGACGCTGGTGCCGGGTGCGCTGTTGCGGGCGGATCTGCTGGGCCGCTTCGCCGATCTCCCACCGCCGCTCTCACCGCCGTGCACATGTGCAACGAATGCGCGGTGCTCCTTGCTGTCCTGCGCACGGAAGAAGCGTTCCAGCCCTTCAATCACAAGCGTGATCTGTACAGTGATGGCGATTACAACAAGTCGTGTCAGCGGTGAACCGCACCCGTGTAATGTAATTGTACACACACGGACACGTGTAACACGCACACATGTAACACAGACAAAGATACACACACACACAGACACACAGACACACACACACACAGACACAGACACACACACACAGTCCCCCCAGGCTGCAATGAGCGGGACTGCACGTTGGCTGAGCGCACCTTCCATGTCGGGTCAATGGCGGCCTTGATGGAAGCAATGAAGTCCTTCAAGCCGCTCTCCTTGTCAATGAGAGTAACCAGCTCCTTCCCTGACACCTGAGCCAAGGAGGAGGGGAATGTTGAGTGGTGATATGGAGGGCTGACTAGTTGAGGATACGATGTGTCACACACACACACACACACACACACACACACACACACACACACACACACACACACACATGCGGCGTACCAGGACGAGCAAGTGTGGCTCGTCTTCGAGGGTGGACACAACTTGGGCCTGCTGTGTGTCCACAGAATCGCGCCTGCGCTGCCACCACACTGTACGGCCCAACGCGGCCAGTGGACCGTCGTGCTCCTCCACGATGGTGACATCGTGTTGCGACAGCGTTTCCCGCAGCGCAGACCGTGCGCGATCCTGATGCGCGCGCGTGTGTGTGTGCATGAATAAAGATGAGCACACGTTCATGCGCACAGCTGTCAATCAACTGCAAGCCAAACATACACACACGCACACGCACACACACACACACACACACACACGTACGCACGTACAGACACACACACACACACACATTATCATCATCAAGCACCTTGAGCAGCGCAGAAGAGATGTGGCACCTCATGGTGGCGAGGTGAGCAGCCACATCTTTCTTCTTGGACGTGGCACGCACAAGCTTGCGCACAGCAGTGCTGTGTTCCTTCTGCTTCTTCCTCTGCTCTCGCTCTCGCTTTCGCTGCTCCTTCGCCAGAGCTTGCTGCTCCCGTCGCGTCATTGTTTGCGCTTGGTTCCCGCTGTTGCTCCGCGACGGCTCTGCCTGCGTTGTCGTCCCCACCTTGGCCTTCTTGCGTGCGTTGACACGTACAGCCACTTCTCTGCTGCCAAAGCCATTGTCGTCGGCACTCTCGTTGTAGCTGTGCTTTGCTGTTCCGACGGCTAGCTGCGTGCTCGGTAAGCTATCGCTATCACTGCCGTGACCGTCGTCGTCGCTGCTGTTGTCTGGTTCAGTGTCACCGCCTCCGTCCACAACTGCTGTGCCTCTGGCCTCACGGCTGCCGCGCTGACGTTGGTGCTGCCGCCGCTGCTGTCGCCGTCGGGGCTGGTGCGGAGACGTGGCCGCTGTGCTTCCATCGCCCAGATCCAGCTGCAGGCCCGAGCACACTTTGTTGGCGGCAGACCCCGTGTGCTGCGCCATGAGCGATGGCCGACGCTGGGCCAGCCGCTCCGCCAGCGACAGCGACGGCACCCCTTCTCCGTCGTCATCGTCGTCATCGTCGTCATCGTCATTTACATCATCTGTGGCAGAGAGGTCGCACACCCAGCTACCACTGCTCACCACAACAAGGTCATCATCACCATCGCCACCATCGTCAACATCCCTGCCACTGACAACCCGCTCCATGGCCACTGGTGGTTGCTTCTTGCAACGGTTGTTTGGTTGTTGGTGTTGGTGGTGGTGGTGGAATGTGATGTGTGACTTGCTGCATGGATGGATGGATGCGTTGGCTTGGATAAGCCGAGCTGGTTGTAATGTGCGATGAATAGCATGATGTGACACCGAGGGGAGGGCACGCAGACAGAGAGAGGGAGAGAGGTAGCAGGCAGATAGTTGGATACCACGCAGAGAAGAGAGAAAGGAGAGAGACAGATCATCGGCCCTCGACGCGAAGGCGGTCGAGTGTGCTGTAGCCAATGGACTGCAGCATGTCAAACGTGTCCTGATCCACGGGGATGGTGTCGTCGGCGTGGATGGCAGAGACCTCGGGCACGTAGTTGTCGCGGCGCTCGCGCTCCTCCTCCTGCAGCTTGATGGAGATGCCGCGCACAGGGCCCTTCTGCCCTCCCCAAACCAGCAGCAGTGACAGCGGGTGAGACGGGGGTTGCGGGGAGAGGGGGGAAGTGGGCGAAGAGGGGAAGGGGTCACGCGACACATGACATGTATGGGACGGAGAAGGACGACACGAACCAAGCAAGCAAGAAGCAAAGAAAC